CCAAAATGTCTGCTTCTGGGTAAGCTATTCTAGAAAAATACTTGCAAAAACCCACAAATAGGAAGGTCATTGCAGTACGTAAAAGGATACTCCATTTCCGTGAAACCTTGAAACAACCTAAATGTCCATAGAAAAAGGATGGGATGGGCTGGGCATGGTGGCTCAAGCCTGTAAGCCCAGCACTTTGGGAGGCTGAGGTGAGGGGATTGCCTGAGCCCACAGGTTTGAGACCAGCCTGGGCAACTTGGCTAGACCTCATCTCTACAATAAATCAAAAAATTAGCCGGGCATGGTAGCATGCACCTGTAGGCTGAGGTGGGAGGATTGCTTGAGCCCAGGAGGTTGAGGCTCCAGTGAGCTATGACTGTGCCACTGCACTCCAGCCTGGGTGACAGAACAGGACTTGTCTCAAAAAAATAAATAGCCAGGTATGGTGGCTCACGCTTGTAATCCCAGCATTTTGGGAGGCAGAGGCGAGAAGATTGCCTGTGCCCAGGGGTTCAAGATTAACCTGGGCAACTCTGCGATAACTCATCTCAACAATAAATCAAAAAATTAGCTGGGTGAGGTGGCATGCATCTGTAGTTTCAGCAACTTGGAAGGCTGCGGTGGAAAGATTGCCTGAGCCCATTAGATTGAGGCTGCAACAGCCATGAGTGTGCCACTGCACTCCAGCCTGGACAACAGAGTGAAACTCCAACTCTAAATAAATAACACATTTCATGAGAATGCATAAATATATTATGTACTACTTGGTTACAGAAACCAAATAAAAAATTAATTTTAAGCAAGGGATAGCAAGAAGTCCTCCCCGAGGCTGGGCGCGGTGGCTCACGCCTATAATCCCAGCACTTTCGGAGGTGAGAGGATTGCCTGAGCCCACAGGTTCCAGACCAGCCTGGGCAACTTGGTGAAACCTCATCTCTATAATAAAAACAAACAAATAAATAATTAGTCAGGCATGGTGGTGCCTGCCTGTAGTTCCAGCTTCTTGGAAGGCTGAGGCAGAAGGACTGCCTGAGCCCAGTGGGTTGAGGCTGCAGTGGCCGTGAGCAGCGTGCCACTGCACTCCAGCCTGGCAACAGAATGAGACTCCAAATGAAAAAAAAAAAACAAAAAGAAATCCTCCTCTGTTCCCAGATACACACAAAGTTGAATTAAACTGAGTGACACTGATTGAAGGAGGGCCACTCAGCCTGTGCATGTCACCTAGGACAGCCCAGTAAAGTTAGCTTGATTAGTGTATATCCCTAGGCAGGTGAACTATCAAGTGCTTGCTTGACAGCATGGCTTTTGCCACATATATAAAGTCCCACAGAAAGTGCTGAGTCATTGATGAGTGCAGCAGTCAGTAGCCAAATCTCTGCCCTTAGGCCTTAGTGGGCACAAGGTTGTGGGCTGGATGAGGCTTCCAAGAGGGAAGACCTTTGCCCCAAGAAAGCCTTTCCAAGGAGAAGTCTCAGGTTAGCTTTGTTAACTTCTTGCTGCATATTTCTAAGGGGTTTTATATTGATTATTTCTTTTTTTTTTTGAGTTGGAGTCTCACTCTGTTGCCAGGCTGGAATGCAGTGGCACACTCACAGTCACCCCAATGTCAACCTGCTGGGCTCAGGCGTTCCTTTGGCCTCAGCCTTCCAAGTAGCCGGAACTACAGGCACACTACCATGCCCGGCTAATTATTATTTCATGAAATTCTAGATGTACCCTAGATCTAACTGTCACCATGAAATCCTAGATGTACCCCTGTAATATAAAAGCTAGAGGAGACTCCTGGAATGTAGCCCATTACTCCATTTTATAGACAAGGAAACTAATTCCATTCTCCCTCCCCCTTTATTTTTTTGTATAAGATATAATTTACCTACAGTAACATGTGGAACTCTTAAAAAGAAAAAAAAAAAGACCTTTGCCCCAGGCTGCTGAACTGTTATCTCACTTCCCAGAAGGTCCCAGCACCTCTGACTAGAAGCCTGGCAGGGGGATGCCATTCCTTGCCACTCATTGCCTTTACTGATTTCCAAGTCATGGGTTCACAAGGCCAAAGGTGCTAGGGTTGCCCTGACTCCGGGAGGCTGCTCTCAATTACACCTGGGCACCAGGGCTGGCGCCAAGGCGTGAAGCCCTGCACAGTTACACGGAGTTCCAGGCTCAGAAAGGTCCCATAGGCAGAGGGCATCACACTTGGCTAATGCCCTGCTGTTGCTGTCTGAAGGGTCTTAAATAATTTCTGAACAAGGGACCCCACATTTTCATTTTGGACTAGGCCTTGCATCTATGCATCTGGTCCTAGTGGATACCTTCTTGTGTGGATTTACGTCCTTAAAGCAGAGACCTCCTGGCATTTGATTTCATGGTTTAACTCCATTCAACTGATGAAAAACCTCATTTTTTATTACAGTAATATGCAATTGAGTTCAGACATTTCTTGAGTTCCTACTATGTACATTGTGCTGAGAGGGAGAGATGGAGACAAAAAAGACAAGAAGCCAGCTTGAAAGGAGTCTGAGGTCTAATGTGAGAGAATTTTGCCAGTGAAATAGAGAGATGGGAGTTCAGATCATGGGATCCAAGAGGGCTTCCTGGAGAACATGATAGTCATGTGGAGTCTTAAGGAATGAGAAGTTAGCCCTATCAAAGATGGTGGGAAGAAGACATTCCAGGCAAACGGCACAGTCCCAGCATAGGGACATAACAGGATGTGTAGGAAACTACAAGAGACTTATGCAAAATAAATACATAAATGATATGTGCATTTGTAAACATAAACACAAATATAAATGTGCATTAAGATAATAAACATGCAACTGATAACCCTCAGGTCACACTTGACAGCAGAATTCTAAATCCTCCTTAGGAAGGCTTTGTGATTTAATGATGACACTCTGTCTTGACTAAAGAATCTTATCAGTTCCTCAAATTGCTGATGTGCTGATCAGTGTATAATCTGCGGACACTAATAGGATGTTGATTTATTTGAAGAATAACTGAAGCCTGAAATTCTATGGATAGTCTTGCGTGTAGACATTGTAGCCTGTATGCTGTCATATGTAGCCAACGATTCTAACTTCTGTATTTTACTCTCTCCATTGAAAAGCCGACAGGCCAGCCGGGCTCAGTGGCTCAGCCTGTAATCCCGCGCCTTTGGGAGGCTGAGGTGAGTGGATTGCCTGAGCCCGCGGGTTCGAGACCCGCCTGCGCAACTTGGCGAGACCTCATCTCTACAATAAATCAAAAATTAGCTGGGCGTGGTAGCACGTGCCTGTAGTTCCAGCTACTTGGAAAGCTGAAGTGGAAGGATCGCTGGAGCCCAGTAGGTCGAGGCTGCGGTGGCCGGGAGCGGCCACTGCACTCCAGTCTTGGTGACAGAGTGAGACTCCAACTAAAAAAAAAAACAAAAAATGGACAGGCCATTGCCACCACCCGCCATGGCCATTGCGGCCATTGCCTTGCTAAGCTATGGTGTGGCCACGTGCTCTTTGAGCTATGGCCAGGCCATATTTCCTGGCTTTGGTCCCCTCCCCTACCTTAGGGAGGTGAATCTCCTCTTTCTCTCTAATTTACTTTCTAAATAAACTATCTTTTCTAATCTAACCTGTGCAATTCTTTGCATCTTTTATGCGGCATCGATCGCACCAGACACCCCATACCCCCAGTGGGCCTGACCTAACATTCTGGAGGCCCCGCTGGGAGTGTGACCCTAACATTTTTGGAGGTCCCACCGAGATGTGACCTAACAAAAGAAAAAGAAAAGAAAAGGGAACAGCAGGCTAGGTGCAGTTGCTCAAGCCTGTAATACCAGCACGTTGGACACTGAGGTGAGAGGATTGCCTGAGCCCATAGGTTCGAGAACAGCCTGGGCAACTTGGGGAGATCTCATCTCTACGATAAACAAAAAAATTAGCTGGGTGCGGTAGCACGTGCCTGTAGCTCTGGCTGCTTGGAACGCTGAGGCAGATTTTGTTCCAGTTACTCTTTGAGGCTTTGAATCAGCAGCAAACACAGACAAAGCACCTACTCTGGAAAAACTGACATACCCAAGGGGGCCAATACACATCTGGTAATGAATGAAAAAAAAAATGAATGCTCTTATTATCTATGTCAGAAGTACATTTTCAGAAGTGGGGGGAAGAGGCGGGTCATTTTTGAGTTTTAGTTGAACACAGATCTCACTTTTCTATTTAAAAGAATTCAAATCAGTGCAAGTAGCAGTAACCAAAAGTGAACCAGAGCCAGGCAGGGTGGCTCACGCCTGTAATCCTAGCATTTTGTGAGACTGAGGCTAGAGGATTGCCTGAGCCCACAAGTTAGAGGCCAGCCTGGGCAACATGGTGAGACCATGTCTCTACAATAAATCAAAAAATCAGCCCAGCATGGTGGCACATGCCTGTAGTTCCAGCTACTTGGAAGTCTGAGGCGGAAAAATCACCTGAGCCCAGCAGGTCGAGGCTGTGGTGGCCGTGAGCGTGCCACTGCACTCCAGCCTGGGTGACAGAGTGAGACTCCGACTCGAAAAAGAAAAATAGTGACTCAGACACAGAACAACAGACAGAGCCTGGGGAGTGAGTCACGGACATAGGTTTAATTATCTCTTGGTGACACCCAATACCTGAGCATTCAGATGTTCATGCATGATAAAGAAGTAATTCTTCTTTCCTTCTCCGCAGTATCCAGTTAAGCGGTTCGGACTCGATTTAGGCAAATTCAATTTACGCGAGCCCGGGGCTCGCCAACTGTACGCGGGAGCCGAGTCCTGCGAGAGTTGGAACGAACCATCGGTGCTAGCCGGGCGGGGAGGGTCAGGTCCGCTGCGCGTGGAGTCCGGGGCGCGACCTCGGACATTCACGGGGTGGCATCCAGGGGTCCTGAGACACGGCGCGGCCGAGAAGCTGGCCTTTACTAGGATAGGGGTGGAGCTGCGGGTGGGGGCCGGCGCCTCGCTCAGGGCTCCGTGCCCCCTCCCCCCTCCGCAATGGACTCGGCTGTAGAATCCGGGTACCCAGTTCCCCGGAGTGTCTTTCGCTTAGGCCGCGTCGAGGCGGTAACGGTGGTCGGTGGGGCCCCGGGCCCGGGGGTGTCGGGCCGAAGGGGACGTGGGTCCGAACCCGGGGGGTGGGTGGGGCAAGGGGGTATCGCGGGACCCCGAAACCTCAGGACAGCAGTCTCCTGCTCCCGGCCGGGCTGCTCCCTCGGCCCCTTCTAAGTGAGGGTACTGGGTCCCTGGTCCCTCCCCCAGTCTCGCTTCTCCCACGACCCCTAGGTCTCTCCAGACCGCATTCCTCCGGCTCCGGTCCCCATGGCGGACAAGAAACTAGTGGTGGTTTTTGGAGCCACAGGTAAGCGAAAGCCCAAACGAGGACCCGGGGGCGCAGGAGACCGCCCGGGCTGCAGAGCCAGAGCGCCCCCCGGCGCCGGGGCCGCTCGCCGTGGGGTCTGGACGGAGGGGAGGAGCGCTGGGACCCCCACCTGGGCGGGGGCTGTGACCACGGGAACTAGTCGCGGATTGCTTTTGAATTTCTAAAACATTACTTGAACGTCATTGAATAGGAGTGCTTGAACATGACACCCAAGTTAAATCTCCTTCCACTCCTTTCTTCCACTCCATCTGTTAGGTCCGAGTAACGCCTGGCTGCTCTCCCTTGATACCAATAAATCCAAGGGACAGGGAACTGGTAGAAAGAGGTTTATTTCGAATCCGAATCCGGGAGCAAAGCTGGGCTTCTGGCCTTTTTAAAGTGGTTCTGCTTACCCTTCAGGTTTTACAGTCCACTTTTGTAAGTTCAGGGTTGGTACCTATACACTGACCACGTGACTAGTAGAGCACTGCATAGAATGTAAGTTACAGCCGCATTTTGTCATTAATGACATTTGTGGTCCGCATTTCCTGGCACCAGTTACACCAGGCAGAGATATTCATTAAATTTGCCGTAGAGTAAAGGGAGTTAACAGGACCTAAGACATCATACATTACTACATGTTGTTAAATGTAAAAGTTACGCAAATCACAAGACTTTTGATTACCTTGATACTATATTATTCAAACCTGTGACTACTAAGAAAAGGCAGTAAATGGGGATTTACTTCTCTCAGTTAGTTGGAAAGTTAACATTTCACAGTCTGCAGGGAAGTTAAGGACTCTTTGAAGTTACTCACTAGGGTGCATAGGAGAAAGGGGACTTGCACCTTTTGTTAATTCTCAGGAATGTGGGTACCTGCGGCCGCTTGATCCCTCGCCATGCCCTTCTCTAGGGGCTGTGGCAATATGGACTGACAATAGCGGGTCACCATATCACATCCACTGTTACAAAGTTTCTTGAAGATCCTACCAGAGTAGATAGATTTTTTTTTCAAATGGTATTATATTATTTTGTTTCTACCTATTTTTCTTTCATATATATAACAGCTTTATTGAAATATAATTTATGGCCAGGCTGGGTGACTCAGCCAGTAATCCCAGCACTTTGGGAGGCTGAGGCAAGTGGATTGCCTGAGCCTGCAGGTTTGAGACCAGCCCAGGCAACTTAGTGAGACCTAGTCTCTACAATAAATCAAAAATTAGCCGGGCGTGGTAGCACACACCCGTAGTTCCTGCTACTTGGAAGTCTGAGGTGGAAGGATTGCCTGAGCCCAGCAGGTCGATGCTTGGGTGGCCTTGAGTGTGCCACTGCACTCCAGCCTGGGCGACAGAGGGAGTGCAGTGGCAGGCTCCCGGCCACCGCAGCCTCAACCTGCTGGGCTCCAGCGATCCTTTCGCCTCAGCCTTCCAAGTAGCCGAAACTACAGGCACACGCTACCATGCCTGGCTAATTTTTTTTTTAATTTACTATAGAGATGAGGTCTTGCCAAGTTGCCCAGGCAGGTCTTGAACCCGCGGGCTCAGGCAGTTCCTTACCTCAGCCTCCCAAGGCGCGGGATTACAGGCTGAGCCACTGAGCTTGGCCTGTGTTTATATATAATTCACATACTAGACATTCCACCCAAGGAAAGTGTTCGACTCACTGGTTTCTAGTATAGTCGCGAGTTGTGCTATCAACAGTCAACTTTAGAACATTCTCCTCACTCCTGAAAGAAACCCCATACATTAAGTCACTCCCCCAAAGCACCAGTCTATTTTTAGTATCTATGGATTTGCCTATTGTGGACATTTCATATTGATAGAATCAGGTTAATGTGTGGCCTTTTGTGTCTGTCTTCCTTCACACAGTGTTTTCAAGGTTCATCCATGTGAAGGAGTAAAGCATGTATCAGTACTTCCTTCCTCTTTATGGCTGAGTAAGATTTCACTTTATGGATAGACCACATCCTGTTTAGCCATTCATCAGTTGATGGATGCTTTATTTGTTTCCACTCTTTGGCTATTATAAAGCTGCTATAAACATTTATCTTCAGGTTTTCATGTGGATATATGTTTTCAGTTTTCTTGGGTATATACCTAGGAGTGGAATTGCTTAATCACACAGTAACTGTGTGTTTAATATCATTGGGTGGTCGAGGATTCTGAGACCTCAAGACAGCAGTTTGCTGCTCCCAGCAAGGCTGCTCTGCTCCCTTTGGCCCCTTCTCAGTGCACGTACTGGATCCCTGGTCCCTCCCCCAATCCCACATCTCTCATGACCCCCAGATCTTTCCAGACTGCATTCCTTCTGCTCCAGTTCCCATGGCCGACAAGAAATTAGTGGTGGTTATAAAGTTGCCATAAACATTTGTCTCCAGGTTTTCATGTGGACATGTGTGTTCAGTTTTCTTAGATATATACCTAGGAGTGGAATTGCTTGATCACATGGTAACTCTGTGTTTAGCATTTTGAGAAACTGCCAGACTGTTTTTCTTTTCTTTTTTTTTTTTTTTTTTTTTTTTTTTGAGTTGGAGTCTCACTCTGTCATCCAGACTAGAGTCCAGTGGCCGCTCCTGGTCACTGCAGCCTCGACCTGCTGGGCTCCGGCGATCCTCCCGCCTCAGCCTTCCAAGTAGCTGGAACTACAGGCGCGCGCTACCACGCCCGGCTAGTTTTTGATTTATTGTAGAGATGAGGTCTCGCTAAGTTGCCCAGGCAGGTCACAAACCCGCGGGCTCAGGCAATCCACTCACGTCAGCCTCCCAAAGCAGCTGCACCATTTTACATCCCCACCAGGAGTGGTCTGAGAGTCCCAATTTCTCCCTGTCCTCCTCAACACTTGTTATTATCTCTTTGATTACTGCCGCCCTAGCCCCACCTATTTTAAATTTAATAAACTGTCTTAGAACTTGTTCTCCATGACAATCTGCTTCATTGATTTTAAACTGGTACATAGTATTCCATCGTTATCAGAATTTCCTTACTCAAACCCCTATCAGTGAACATTTAGGTTGTTTATAGTCTGTTGCTATACAGTAATGAAAACCCTTCTAGTTATACCACTTCATACATATGTAAATATCTGTAGGATCAATTTTTGTAAGAATTACGGGTCAGGGCTTTGATTTTTACCCAGGTGTGAAAAATGGTATCTTGGCTGGGTGTGGTGGCTCAAGCCCATAATCCCAGCACTTTGGAAGCCCGAAGTGAGAGAATTGTCTGAGCTCACAGGTTCGAGACCAGCCTGGGCAACTTGGCGAGACCTACAAAAAAGAAAAAGAAAAATAGTATCTTACTGTAGTTTTTTTTTTGAGTTGGAGTCTCTCTCTGTCACCCAGACTGGAATGCAACGTCCGCTCCCGACCACCGCAGCCTCGACCTGCTGGGCTCCGGCGATCCTTCCGCCTCAGCCTTCCAAGTAGCTGGAACTACAGGCACGCGCTA